AAAAAAAAAAAAAAAAAAAAAAAAGAAGTGGGGGGAGCCTGGAGGGTTTCAGCTACATGACAGAGGTTAGGTCTACTTTAATCATCTGTTGATGACTACCTGTTGAATCCTTTATCAATCTTTTTCCCATCTGTGTTTTCCTCCTCTGTTGCTCTAGGAAGTTTCTTGGAATTCAAAGAAAGGTCCCATGAAGAATTTTGAAAACTTGGAATTAATTTTAACCAAATAAAGTACTGTCTACAGTTCAACATGGAGCATAACATATCCTTAAAAACAAAATCCTTAATCCTGGCTAGTCCTTTAAATTTCGTCTTTTTTGTTTTTTATTTTTTTTCTGACCAGGGATTGAACCCAGGTCCTTGTGCTTGAGAGGCAGGCTGTGGCACCACTGAGCTAAATCCCAGCTTCCGCCTCCCCTTTTAAAACTGGGTCTTACCATGTAGTTCAGATTGGACTTGGATTCGATATGTAGCCCAGGATGGCCTCAAACTCATGGTGATTCTACTGCCTCAGCCTCCCAAGTGCTGGAATTACAGCCATGCACTACCACACCCAGACTAATCTTATTTTTCCCTCCTTTCACTGCCAAATTTCTCATAAAGTCAGCCTTCATTATTTCCCTTATCACCTATTTATCTCCTAAACCTTTAAACCATGACCCCACCTGTACAACTACAACAAAACTGCAACCCCCAAAGGCCCCAGTGTCGCCCTCCCTGGCCAAAACTGTGACTTTTCTGTCTCTCCTCTTTGATCTCTTTTCAGCCCTTGGTTTTATAGATCAACTTCTTCAGCTTTCTTTTCCTTGGCCCTCTGGATTCCACACTGCTCTGTTTCCTTCTACCTCTGAGACCTCTCCTTTGCTCTCTGCTAGCCCTGCAAGCTGTATTCTTTCCTACTCTACAAAGTGTCATTGCAGCCCAAGCAACCACCCTGGGATCTCCTCTCTGCTATTCATGATCTTGAAGAACACTTTTTTATTCAGTATCCACAGAATGCCTTCCTTCGTGTCTCTAGCTTTGACCTCCTGTCTTAGGTTTAATCTAATAATTTCTGCTGGACATCTCCAGGTGGATGCTATCTCACCATGTCGGGGGCAGAACTTATCTTTCCCCTTAAAATTCTCAACTCTCTCGTAGGACTAATGCCATCAATTTAGCAGTTATACAGGTTTGAAATTTTGAGTAATTTTTTTTCACATGAGGTCTTTTGGCCTCTTGGGCTCAAGTGATCCTCCCACCTGTCAGGGCCGGTGGGCTGGAGGCCCTGGTCAGGTGAGGTTCCCCCCCGAAAAGGAAGACTACATATGGAGCAGGGATTACAAAAAAGCTTCAGGCAGCATCAGAGCACGTGAGTTGGAGCTGCAGCTCTAGAACTCTGTGTATCAGCCTTTCTGAGACACAGCAAGACAAAACAGCCACACGACCTTGCATAGCCGTCTGGTACGTGCGTGGTCAGCCGTGCTGATTTATTATTATTACAACAAACTCCATCATGGGCCTGCGCTAAATGATAGACTTGTATCCTCAGCTGTCCTCTGATGTCTGCAGACACCCGGCTTTATCTCACAGCGGCCTCCTATGCCACCTCAGCTCCCAAATACCTGGGCTGGGATTATAGATTTACATCAATGCCCAGTTCCAAAACTTAGTGTCTCTGTGTCTGTCTGGCTCTCTGGCTCTCTCTCTCTCTCCCTCCTGCAGTGGGGACTGAACCAGGGCTCTTGTGCTTGCTAGGTATGAGCTACAGCCCCCAGGCCAGAAATCATGGTTCATCCTTGACCCTTTTCTGTCTTTGCATAGTGGGCCAGTAGGAAACTCTCGCTCTCACAAGTCTGCCTCTTGAGAACCCTTCCTTCTGCCACTGCTGTGCCTCACCACAGCTCTCCTAGGCATTCCCAGTACTTTTTAAACTACTTCTCCTCTGCTTTCTTTTCCTTTCAACACATTACATAACATTAAACATGAGTTTAGTTGGAAATAATAATCTTACAAAAACATTTTGTTGTAGGTATCGTTTCTTTCTTAATCCCTTCAATTAGATTCCTATCACCTAAAGGATAAAATTTGAGTTTCCTTATGTGGCACTTACTATCTTCAACCATCTAATCTGTGCCGATTTCTGTTCCCATTTTATACATGTTCTCTTCTCCAGCTGAAGTAATTTTCTAATGGCTCTCCAAACATGTCCTAACATTAGAACTGAAAGTGCTATAATCCAGAGGGTGTCATCAGGAGAAAACGTAGTATGAGAAGTCTGCACTTCATTCCCATGTCTATATTGGTACGTGTGGGGGTTGTTTGTTTTTTGTTGCTATTTTGTTTTGTTCTGTGAGGCAAGGCCTCCCTTTGTAGTTCAGGATGGCCCTCAATTTATGGTGGAGCCCAGGCTGGCCTTGAACTCATGATGATCCCCTTGCCTCAGCCTCCCGAGTCTGGGATTATAGACATGTGTCCCCACAGCTGGTGGTATGTGTGTTTTGTGGCGGTGGTGGTGGTGGTGGTATTGGGGTTTTGTTTGGTTGTTTTTTTGTGATCCTGGGATGTTGAGGGGTGGTTGTCTTGTTTTGAGACAGTATCTGAGTTGCTAAATTGCCCAGGCTGATCTGTAAATTTCAGTCTTCCTCCCTAAGTCTCCCAAAGTGCCAGGATCATAGGTGTGCGTGACTACACCCAGCTATTACCTGTGTTCTTGATATCTCCCTGTAAGCTTCTCTCTTTTGGCCTGTGTCTAACTCTTCCATCAAGGTCTGGCTCAAGCTCCACCAGCCCCACAAATTCTCCATCAGCTGCCTTAGCCATTGATAACCACTCTCTCCTTAATTCCCAGACTACTGGTCTGTATATATGATGAGTGTGTAATGTAACACCCAAGTTGCAATGTTTGAGTGTTAAAGGGGGCACAGTTAGTCTGAAATGTAAACTGGGCATGAACTCGGACTCTCCAGGACAATATAATAGTATTCATTTGGCACTCAGGGTGTAACCTGGCAGGGTTTGTTAAAATCTACTTGTTCATCACAATGATACCTTTAACATTTAGGAATGAAATATGGGTTAGGAGTGAACTTTCAAAAGCAGTAAATTCACTACCAAATCATCTTTTTTGGTAAGAAGTAAAAAAAAAAAAAAATCTGTGTCCTCATAAACAGATATTGACATAAAAATATCTTCAAGATTTTGGTGCAGACTGGGTAGTGATGTCCACAGTCTCTATATTAACAGCACTGTCTTTCCCAGCCCTAGCAAGGGAGTTTGTATAAATTACATTAAAATAAAACTATATCTGAGCAAATGCTGTTCTGGCTGATTAACCTGAAACTAATTTTGGGAAGTTTTAGTTTGCCTGACTTTTTTTGTGTAGTGATCATCTGGCACCATTTCTGCATTACAGTGTCCCTACTAAACTACTTGCA